GGCCTCCCAGGCCGACACGCGGCGCCCGGCAGCCCAGAAGGCCCTTTATTCCACAGCCATGGAATCCATCCAGGGGGAGGCCCGGAGAGGGGGCACCATCGAAACTGATGACCAGTGAGTCTGGTTCAGTGTGCTTGGAGTCATGGAATGGTTGAAGTTGGAAGGGACCTTGAAGATCATCAGGTTCCAGCCCCCCTGCCATGGGCAGGGACACTTCCCACCAGCCCAGGCTGCCCCAAGCCCCATCCAACCTGGTCTGGAACACCCCCAGGGATGGGGCAGCCACAGCTTCCCTGGGCAACCTGGGCCAGGGTCTCCCCACCCTCACAGGGAAGAATTTCTTCCTCGTGTCCAACCTCAATCTCCCTCTCCCAGTTTTCATCCCTCCCCCTCATCCCATCCCTCCCTGCCCTTGTCCCAAGTCCCTCCCCAGCTTTCCTGGAGCCCCTTCAGGCCCTGGAAGCTGCTCTAAGGTCTCCCTGGAGCCTTCTCTCCAGGCTGAACACCCCACCCCTCCCAGCTTGTTCAGTGGCTCACACAACCTGGGCTGGGCCAGGGAGCAGGGGGGCTGAGGACCCTCTGCCTCATCTTGGTGCCTTCTCTCCTAGGATGGGGGGCATCCCAGCCCGCAACGCCAGAGGGGAGCGGCTGCTGCTCTACGTCGGCATCATCGACGTGTTGCAGTCCTACAGGTGAGGGGCAGTTGGTGACAGCAGCATCCCACCCTGGGGAGACCCCTCCCCAGCACTGCCTGCTCCTGCTGGCTTGTCAGGATTGGCGTTCCAGAAAAAGTTAAAGACACAAATCAACAGAGGTTGTTTTATTAACCTCTTTCTGTTTTCTTCAAGTCGGGCATTTTGGGATCAATTTCCAGGTCTTGCTTCACTCTGCTTCATGTTCCCAGAATATGAAGTGGTTTCTGGGTGCCATGGTGGTTGGACACGGGCACTGTGTGGGAAGTAGCAGGGAACAAACCAGTGGTGGCCTTAAATGGCCATAACCACTTCTCCCTGTAAAGAGAAAACCAACTGTAAGGTTTGTCTTTTCTGCTATTGACAGGAAAACGCAGCGTGCAGGGGTCACAGGGGTAAAGTCTCTGTTAGATGTCATTGCAAGTTGGCTGCCCTGATTGGTTCTGCCTTTGAAACTCTCCCCTTGGGAGGTTGATCCCTGCAACCAGCCCTGGAGTCTGTGGGAACAGCCTTAGAAACAGGGGACAATGAGGAGGATTCAAAGCCCAAATGGGCTGTTTTTGGGGTGCCCAGTTCTGAGCCAGCGTGTTGTGATACAGACCTTGGGGACCTGGTGTGCAAGTTGTTCTTGATTCTTCCCATTCTCAGGTTTGTCAAGAAGCTGGAGCACTCTTGGAAGGCCCTGGTACATGATGGGGTGAGTAGGAAAAGGTCACTGTTCAGCTTGTTTAGCAAGCAAACCAGAGTCCTGTTAAGCTGTGCTGGGCCTGGGATCCTGGGCTTCTGTGTTTGCCTCTTGCAGCTGCTCATCTGTTTCATTCATTGATTGCTTTGTGTGTGGAGCTCCTGAGGGACACAACCTGTGTCCAGGGCTCTCAGCCTGGGAGAAGCTGCTGGTGTAACCTGGACCAGTGATGAATTCAGGCTCCCAGGTGAATTAATGTTTGTCCCTTGGGCTTCCAGGACACTGTCTCTGTGCACAGACCCAGCTTCTACGCCGAGAGGTTCCAGCGGTTCATGTGCAACACAGTGTTCAAGAAGATACCACGTAAGTACCTTTGTTGTGCCCTTGGCCATCACCAAAGCCTCCTGGCTTATCCCTGCCCAGGGAGGGGCTTTGGGAAGGTGGGCAAGAGCATCCAAGAGCTTTAGGAAGTGATTTGTGCTGTCACCTCTTCCTTCCTCCTGGATGCCTGACAGATGTGACCTTATAGGAGCTGTTTCATCCACCAGCTTGTTCCTTCAGGGCACAACTCTCACTGGGAAGTTGGGTTTTCCTACTCCTTCCTGAATGCATTAGGAAAGAGAATTTTGTTGGTTTGTGTCTTTCCAGTCAAGCCATCCCCTTCCAAGAAGAGCCGCTCGGGCACCGCGGTTCCGCGGCGGAGCTGCCAGGGGGGAGTCCCTGCCCAGCCCCCCCTGGGCTGTGAGACCCGGGCACAAGTGACAGCAGAGGTGGACGTGGAGCAAGGTTGGTGCCTGGGAAAAGCCAGGGGGGTTGTGGAGGTGGGGAATTCTTGGCTCCAGTGTCTTCATGGGGTCTTTCAGCCTCATCCAAGCATCCAACGTGGCCCCTGCTGCCCTGGGAGGGGCTGGGCTGGGAGCAGAGCTGCCTGCAGGGCTGGTTCCTTAGGGCTTGGGCATCTTAGGTGGGATCCAGCACGGATCCTCACCCCTTGGCTAGTGTGGGAGCTCCTGCCACACCAACCCCAGTTGTGCTGGTGGTGGAACAGTCTGTGCTTCAACTCAGGTTCCCACCTTGGTCGCCCAGATCTCCTGCCCCGGATGCTGCCGGTGGACGAAGCCAACAGCGACTCCATCGCCACCACCCTCTCCACCTCCTCCCTGGGCAGTGGTGGCCTCAACTCCCCTGCAAACAGGTGAGGCTGATGCTGATTGGGTGCATGGCAGGGTCAGGAGCCAGGGGAGGACCTTGTGCTGCTCTGGGGGTGGTTGGTTCTGGCATGCTGGCAGAAGCCCCCCTTGGAGTGGTCCCTGTGTTGTGGAGCAGCTTCAGTGCTGTTAGCTCGAGCATGTGCAAGGGGGAAGTGATGTGTCCCCCTCCCTGCGTGTGCAGTTCCTTGCAGATGACCCCCTTGCATCTTCTGCTTGGCCTGTGGTGGGGTCCCTGTGGCATTTAGTGTGTCCTGTATTTGTTCTGGAGTTGAGGTAATTGTGCTGGTGAAAGTGAGTCAGTGAAAGTGTCTCTGCCCAAGTGTATGTGCAGAGCATTGATGTGTTGGTGGGTGATGCTGAAGGTGACCTTCCTGCTGCTCTTCTCAGAGGGTTGGGCTCTCCTGCAGCTGCCTGGTTGGGGTAGCACTGAGTTCCCACAGCCCCTCAGGGAAGGAGGCTGCAAGATGAGTGCCCATGTGGGGCAGAATGTCTCAGGAGCTGGAGTGCATGGAGGGCCCTGAGGGAGCTGGAGGCTGCCTTTGAATGTTTTGTTTCTTGCTGAAGTGGTAAAGACAGCAGGGATGAGGAGGAGCTGTGGTCAGAGGACAATCCCTTTCATAGAAGTTGTTCCAAGGTGTTAACTTCTGCTGGAAGTGGTGGGAAACCATCCTCCCCATTCCTGACCCCGCGGCACAGATGGAAGTGCCCGCGCTCTCCTGGGCTGCAGGAGAACAAGGTGCAATTGCAGTTAACACCTCCTACCCCCTCTGTAACACATGGGAACTTCTTGGTAGGGATCCTAAACCAGAGCTGCTCCTTCCCAGTCCGTCAGCATGTCCGGGGGGCTCTTTTTACTCACTGAACTGTGGGTCTCTCTCCTTCGATCTCTGTGTAGGTCAGTGGGCGTCCAAGTGCACAAAGCTGAGACCTCAGCCAAGGACTTGCCTAGAGCAGCAGCTGGCATC